CCTAACGATGACTCTTAGACTCCTAGAAAAACAAGAGCAAGAAAAACCCAAAGCTCGAACAAGAGAGGAAATTATGAAGATTAGAGCAGAAATCAATGCAGTGGAAACTAAGAAAATGATACAAAAATTAAATGAATCAAAGAGTTGGTTTTTTAAAAGAATAGATAAAATTGATAAACCCTTAGCAAACCTTATCCAAAAAAGGAAAGAAAAGACTCAGATTCATGCAATCAGGAATGAAAAAGACAAAGTTACAACAGATCCCATAGAAATCCAGAGGATCATTAATACATACTATGAGAACCTGTACTCTAATAAAACGGAAAACACAGAAGAAATGGACAGATTTCTAGATACTTATGAATTACCAAAGTTGAATGAAGAAGATAAAAACATTTTAAACACCCCAATTACAATCAGTGAAATTGAAAATGTAATTAAAAACTTACCAACAAAGAAAAGCCCAGGTCCTGATGGATTCACTGCTGAATTTTACAAGACATTTAGAGAAGATCTACTGCCATTACTCTTCAGACTTTTCAATGAAATTGAAAGGGAAGCAATACTTTCAAATTCATTCCTGGAAGCAAATATCACTTTGATACCCAAACCTGGGAAAGATATAACTAAAAAAGAGAACTACAGGCCAATCTCCTTAATGAATATAGATGTAAAAATCCTCAATAAGATACTAGCAAACAATACAGAGATTGTCAAGAAGGTCATACATCCTGACCAAGTCGGATTTATTCCAGGGATGCAAGGATGGTTCAACATACATAAATCAATAAATGTAATACACTATATTAACAAATTCAAGGACAAGATCCACATGATCCTCTCAATATATGCTGAAAAAGCATTTGACAAAATTCAGCCATTCATGATAAAAACTCTGTAAAAAATTGGAATAGTCTATATCTCAACTTAATAAAGGCTATCTATGAAAAACCAACAGCCAATATCATATTAAATGGCCAAAAACTGAAAACCTTCACATTAAAATCAGGAACAAGACAAGGATGCCCACTATCACCACTCCTCTTCGATATAGCCATAGGAATTAGACAAGAAAAAGAAATTAAAGCAATAAAGATAGGAAAGGAAGAAGTTAAATTGTCATTATTTGCTGATGATATGATACTCTACAATGAAGCCAAAAAAAACTCCACCAAAAGACTTCTCAACTTAATAGACACTTTTAGCAGAGTAGCTGGATACAGGGTCAACACCCAAAAATCAATAGCCTTCTTGTACACAGATAACAGACTCACTGAACGAGAAATTAGGGAAACAATTCACAATAGCAAAAAAAAAAAAAAAAAAAAAAAA